ATTTGGTGAGTTTTGGTACTGGAAAATTTAAACCCATGCGTGGTGGCCCAAGTGGAAACACGGTCGACCGCATGCTGGAGAGAAACTGCAATGAGATAACAGTCAGCGCCTGCACAAGCAATAGCGAAGTCATCAACTTAGTTATGACCAAATATTGGGTGGAAGTTCAAAGGTAAACAAATCATGCCACGCGTCCAATACACGTCAACTGGCGAGTCTAATATTCTTTCACAAGTGCGCTGCTATTATTTATACCATTTCTACACGAATGCAGTAGTCTGCATAACATAAATCTTCTATTTTTGCGAGAATAAAAATTCAAAGTGGAAAGCAAAAGAAATGTAACAGAGACCTGGGGACGTGAGTAATGAAGAGGAAATGTTATTTTAGTGCCCTATTCTAGACCCTATTTGAAAATTGGCATCTTTTGAAATTTGTGAAATTGGCAAAATTGCCAATTTCTGACCACGTTATTGGTTAGTTGAAATCAGTAAATGGGTGGTTTCTTGTACTCATTCGATAGAAAAAATGGAGTTCTAGTGATATAGGTATGATTTTTGTCAACTTGTACATTGGAATTGGCTGAAAATAGGACTCAAAGTGGGTGAAATCGCTAATGCGTAAACATCGTCGAGACCGCTAACTTCGCGAGAGCATAATTCCGTAAGTTTTCCATCAAATTTCATACTTTTGGTGTCATTATGACCAGGAAAAGATTCTCTATCATTTCATAAGAAATTTTTTTTTTTTTTTTCGAAAAATTTTCTGACCCTGAGAACAAGTTTGGGAGAGGACCTACCGACCTTGAAAGGGTTTATCATCCAAGTCGGACTGAAGCATCATCACAAGTTCCAGTCTCCTAAGTGTGGGTTATTAGTGTATTGTTCAAGCCATGGTACTGTGACTTCATTCTTTGTCATTATTATATTCATAAAAAATTAACAAAATTTCAATGTATTTTTGCTTCACAGTGTGATCTTGAGTATATCTTTGTGGGTATCCTTAAAATTAACAAGCTTAAAGGATTTAAAAAACTGTAAAAATACATTCTTATACACCATGAGAAGACCCACCCCCTCCCCGAGATTTGGTATTCAGCACTGCTAACTGCTTATCAATGCTACAAAAATATAAATTTTGATTACCATATTATAAAATACATATTCATCATAAATGGATGTTAGCACAAAATTGCACTTCTAACAAAATGTGTGTCCACAATTCCACATCATCTAATTTATTAATAAATGCATCAGATCATAGAACCAATTAACTATTCTAATACCTTGTCTAATAAAACAATAGTACAATGACAATACACATACAAATGACAGTATATAAAAGACATGTTAAAATAGAGATTACCTCTTATGTTACTGATAACTTACTGGAAGCTAACACATTATATTCTATTCTTTGAAGGAATGGAAATATATTACTTTAGTTAAACTGTACATATATATATATATATATATATATATAACAGACTCTCACACATAGCAAAACTACCCATCACTTTTTTAATCTACCGCTATTAAATTTTATTTCACAAGTTGACAAAATGTGGGAGATGGTTGGATTTTTCACGTCATTTGATTACTGCACAATACTAGGGATGGAAAGATACCAAAATTTTTTGTCAATGCTGACAAGCACCCACAGATGCTCAATTTTAGGCTGATACCAATACTATTATTATTATAAAATTTAAGTGATACCTAGCAGTACCACTGCCTTGGAACACCCCTACACAATACTACTGCATTTTCTTTTGTTATTACTTTCTTAATTGCATTCATTTTGGTACAGGTTTGGCAGGTTCCTATATGTATGGTACAATTTGGTATATTTTTATCAATGCTAGCAGGTAATGGGGGATGAGATAGTTGTAGCTAATACTGCCTCTCACATGTGTACAGATATTGTACCATGCTACATCAACTCTATATACACATCTTGTCCCATTATATTCCTACTGTAACTAAGTAACATCCTGTATCTTCATTTCTATTCAATCACTCCACAAAACTGAATCAGTTTGAAATAGTAAGTCATACTTTTAAAACTATACCATCTGTTCATTAGCTACCTTTCTTATTATAGTCAACTGCATAAGAAATCCTTTTTATTAGTTTAAGTCTAATTCTCTTCCATGGAGAAGTGGAACAGAATTCTTCCCTCATAATAACCCATGCGTGTCGTAAGAGGCAACTAAAATGCTGGGAGCATGGGGCTAGTAACCCCTTATCCTGTATACATTTCTAAATTTAAAAAGAGAAACTTTTGTTATTCATTGTAGGTCACTCATCGGGAGGCCTGGTCATGGACCGGGCCGCGGGGGCGTTGATCCCCGGAATAACCTCCATGTAACCTCCAGGTCACCCTGCCTTGGTGGGATATGGCCAGTATGATGGAAAAAAAAATTTAATTCTTAAGTAGTTATCAAGTATTAAAATTAGTTTGCACAAAATGCACTGCATACTAGTGACTTTCTTTTGTGCCTTCCAATGTTTTATTACATGTAAACTACATTATTTTTGTACTGCATAAAAAGGAATAAAAATCTGAGTTTGAAATGCACTTGCATATCAACAAGCAACAGCACCTACTGATACAAGCTGGTAAGGAAATGTAGCTCATTTTGTCCAGTGCTGAGATCAGACCATGTTAGTGGTGGCTGATGCCACCTCTTATATGTTTGTACAGTACAGGTATCACAGGGTCACAACACCCATCTCCACACATTTCAAAGACTATTATTTTTACAAAATAAATTAAGAAAAAATGGCTCTTTGAGTGGTGTCAGGAATGTAACTATTTTTCCCAAGTTCTTCAGTTAACAAATTGTGATTTTTACATATACGTACAGTACTAGTACAGCGGAACCTCGGTATACAACCAGCTCCCTACTCGAACAAAGCTCAGCACTCGACCAAACAAATACGACCTTCCAGAACTTCACTGTAAACTATTTCGTGTTTCTTCGCTGTTTTTGGTGTTCTTTTGTATTAAATGTATAAATAAGTCACCATGGGACCTATGACAATTAGTGATAACAGCCAACCAAACAGAAAATTGGTTGGGAAGAACTCGTTCGATATTCAAACGGAGCAGCACTCAAACAGCCTTCTGGAATGAGTTAAGGTCGCATACCAAGGTTCTACTGTACTGTACAGTTGATTACTGGAACATAACCATGAGATATGTGACAGTCTACTATATATATATCTCATAGTCAAAATTCATCAAATGATTAGAACAGTAACAGAATTACTTACAATATTTAGATAAGAGTAAAAAGGTTTTCATGGCATTTATGGATTTGGAAAATATGTATGATAGGATGGAAGGGGAGCAATGTGGCATATGTTGCAAATGTATGGAATAGGAGGTACTTTACTAAAAGCAGTGAAGAGTTTTTACAAGGATATTGAGGCTCAGATTAGAGTTTGTAGGAGAGGGAGATTATTTCCCAGTAAAAGTAGGCCTTATACAAGGATGTGTGATGTCACCATGGTTGTTAAATATATTTATAGATGGGGTTATAAGAGAAGTGAAAGCTTGGGTGTTGGCAAGAGGTGTGAGATTAAAGATAAAGAATTAACAAAAAGTGGGAGTTGTCACAGTTGCTCTTTGCTGATGACACTGTGCTTTTGGGAGATTCTGAAAAGAAATTGCAGAGGTTGGTTGATGAGTATGGTAGGGTATGTAGATGAAGAAAATTAAAAGTGAATATAGGAAAGAGTAAGGTAATGAGGATAACAAAAAAAATAGGTGATGAAAGAATGGATATCAGAATTGAGGGAGAGAGTATGGAGGAGGTAAATGTATTCAGATATTTAGGAGTGGACATGTCAGCAGATGGGTCTATGAAAGATGAGGTGAATCATAGGATTGACGAGAGGAAAATGGTGAGTGGTGCACTTAGGAGTCTGTGGAGACAAAGAACTTTGTCTGTGGAAGCAAAGAGGTGAATGTATGAGAGCATAGTTATACCAATGCTCTTACATGAGTGTGAAACATGGGTGGTGAATGTTGCAACAAGGGGAAGGCTGGAGGCAGTGGAGATGTCATGTCTGAAAGCGATGTTTGGTGTGACTATAATGCAGAGAATTTGTAGTTTTGAAATTAGGATGTGCGGGATTACCAAAACAATTATCCAGAGGGCTGAGGAGGGGTTGTTGAGGTGGTTTTGACATGTAAAGAGGGTAGAAGGAAATAGAATGACTTTGAGAGGGTATACATCTGTAGTGGAGGGAAGGCAGGGTAGGGGTCGGCCTAGGAAAGGTTGGATAGAGGGAGTAAAGGAGGAGCAAATGGAGACAAATGGTCTTTAGGATTTGACGTGCTGTTGGAGTGTGAGCAAGGTAACAATTATGGGGGGGTTCAGGGAAAAATAGTGGGGCGGGACTTGAGCCCCTGGAAGGGAAGTACGGTCTGCACTTTAAAGGAAGGGGGAAAATTTTCATTTTATAACTTAAGTGAAGTGCACCCAAAAAGACAGGAGGAGAAAATGATAAAAGTTTTTTTTTTTTAGGCCACCCTCCTTTGGGTGGGATAGGGCTGAGTGTTAAAAAAAAAAATAATAAAAAAAAAATTTAACTAAATTTTTCAATACTTTGCCTATTTCAAGTGTTTTATGATTACTATGCTCTGCCACCGATTTTAGTGTAATTTTTTATCAAAAGTTTTTTTAGAAAAAAGACTTTCTACCCCTGCCCCTACAATGGTATACACTGCGCAAGGGACCAATCTGAATATACTGATTTTTACTTGCACGCTGGGGTCCGAACTCTTTCGCTCGGGACTGCTTTGTAAAAGCAAATTTTTTTTAATACTGCCCCAAACTCCTTAATTTTTTCTGAAAAATTTTGAAAAAGAAACACATGTTTTTTCATATTTAAATGTGGATTTTTCCCTGAAATAAGTCAAAATTTATTAGTTAGCCTTTAGCCAAATTATACTCATATACAGGAAATGGCTTAAGAAAAAAAATATGCCAAAGAAGAATTGCTAATTGAACAAGTGTGACTTACTGTGAAAGATAAATGACTTATATCCATATCCTCCAGTTCTTTGTTAAACTTCTCCCAAAGGTCATACCTGTGGATATTAAGAGTACATTACTGTAATACTATTACTGAAGAATGGTGACTACAAGCCTAGACCTGTAGCTACAAACAGGTAATTACAATGCAGATGAGACTGGCTTCTTATTGCATTACATCACCACTTTGCTTTAAGTAAAATTCCATCAACATGTCTCGTAATATATGTTGCAGCTCTTGCAAATGTTGTACATGGTAACTAAGAAAATGTTTAATTGCATCATTACATTAATGGTACAAGTACAACACCAATTTATCTGCAACAGATGGTTTGGAACCTTTCAGTCCAGACAAAATTTTACAATGCTACTCGTGCAGCATGCAAAGAGTATGTTACAATTTATTCAGTGTACGTCGTACTCCCATGTAGGCTGCCTCCCAACCAGCGAACTGGGTGCTAAGGGTTCAACGATCAATAGGGTACCCATCATTAAATCAGTACCTTGGTTCATTGGCCAATCACATGCAAGCCCTCCAAAACTGAAGCAACATGGTTCACTTGCGGTAAGCATTGGCAGACGAGCCCAAGCTGCTGGTTGATACACTGCACTTTCTCTGGCTTCTGCTTTTGCCATCTTATCACCATATAGTACAATTACTATTCACCCTCTGTACATAAGTGTACATGTATAAATCTAGCAAATTATATCTGGTGCAGGAAATACAACTTACAGTAGGGTCCCGCTTTACGGCGGTCCACTAATACGGACATTTCAAATTATGACCAAAACCCTCTATACGGGCTCCCCCACCTGACTTTCTAATAGGGTCCCCTTTACCCAGGGGGTTTTGTTTACATTCCCCAAAAGTCTGGAAATTTTCCCAAAATTTCACGTTTTTTAAAAGTTATTTTAATATATAGTACCGAAAATTAACTTTGTTCCCTGTACCAAAATAAACTTACACACTGTGCTGGCATGCAGGTACCTTTAAAAATAAGAGTGTCTTTTATCTTAAGATGCCATATTAATAATGAAAAAAATAAACCAATAAAAATCACTCGAGGGCATTAACCTTTAAAACCCTTTCGGGGCGACGGCCCTCTCAAGATTTTGTTCTCAGGGTCGCCCAAAAAAAAAAAAAATTTTTTTTTCAAATTTCTTTTCCCGACAAATAACCAAAGTATGAAATTTGAGGGAAAAAATTACAGAATTATGCTCTCGCAAAGTTACGGTCTGACGATGTTTATGCACGGCGTTTTTGCCACTTTGAGCCCTATTTTCGGCCAATTCCACGTATAGTCGACAAAAAATCATGAATATTTCGCTAGAACTCCATTTTTTTCTATCAAATGAGTGAAGAAACCCCCCTTTAAAATGTTTCAACTATCCAATACAGTGGTCAGTTTTAGCAATTTTTGCCAATTTACAAAAATTTTTAAAAAGATGGCCAATTTCCAAATAGGGTCCAGAAAAAACAAGAAAGACATTCCTGGCACTAAAATAAAATTTTCCCCTCTTTAAATGTCACGTCCCAAGCCCCTTTTAATTCTTTTGTTTTTTCCTTTAAATTTTTTATTCTCACAAAAATAGAAGATTTACTGTTATGAGACTACTGCATTGTGTAAAAAAGGTATAAATAATATCGGCACACTTGTAAAAGAATATTAGACTCACCAGTTGAGGTATTGGAACCTTAGTATGATTTGTTATTTTTAAACTTTGGAAAAAAATCGAACATTTTGCTATTTGAGCTCAATTTCAAGGGTTACTTTTCTTGTAAAATCAGTCAAATCACCAATTTCTGTAATAGTCTTCCTTCTATAAAAATGAGCCCGGGAAAAAACTAGAATACAACAATAATACCACACGAAAATACAGGCAAAGCGCTGTTTTAACCCAAAAACACGGTCAGTTTTTATTTCTCATTACGCACTGTGTGCTAAGGATTTTTTTAACCAGCACACTGACCACATAGACCCATTCTTTCATATGTAGGCCACCACTTTCTCTCACTAGATTGGGGGAGCTAGAATTTAGGAAATTAGTACGTAAAAAACCCTGGAGTAAGCCTATTTAGTGGGGCCAAAAACCTGAAAGGGGTTTAAATTTTTGTTTACCACAAAATTTTTTAGCCCTTTTATATTGGTTTGCAATTATTTATAAGGGTTCCCTCAAATTCGCTTTTTTCAACTTTCGGGGGGGCTTCACACATTCGCAAATTTTCCCAAACCGCCAAATTCCAGCGCCAAATATATTTAATTTCCCCTCCCCCGCCCCCCACAACGGCAGCCAGCCCCCCCACCCTGTTTGGGAGTGTTTTTTTGTTCATTTTTTGCTTTTAAATACATAAAAATTTAATGAAAACCCCTCCATGACTGCATATTAGAAGGGCTATTTGTAAGGTATTGGAAGGTACATCATGTGTTTTCCTGAACACAGCAAAGAACAAACTTTTCTGCTACTGCTTAAAAATAATAATAAAAATAATAATAAAATAAAAATAAAAATAATAAAAATAAATACGATAGAATTGAAAAAGGGGAAATTGTACAAAAATACGGGGGCTGAACGGGGTGGAGGAAGGGGTTTTGAACATCGTCATGTGGCTTTGTTATGCTGGAGTGAGTATTATTTCCCCGTGCTCTTCCAAAATTTTCACAAAAAATTCATTTTTTTGGGTGTTTTGTTGGGGTTGATTTTTGACTGGATGGTTGAGGCGTGGTTGAGGAGTGGTTGGGGCAGTGGTAGAGGCAGTGGGAGGGGGGGGAGGCAGTGGTAGAGGCGGGGTAGAGGCAGGGGTAAGGCAGTGGAGAGGCAGTGGTGAGGGCATTATAGAGGCAGTGGGTGAGGCAGTGGCAAGGCAGTGGGTGAGGCAGTGGGTGGGGCAGGGGGTGGGGCATGGTGAGCAGTGGGGGGGGGGAGGCGGATGGCGTGATAGGGCAGTGATATTTACTAACATTATGTTATAAAAAATAATAGTAATTGAATAACTTTATTTATTATTTTATTAAAATGTTATTAATATTAACATTATTTTTTATTTATAACATATATTTAGTAAATACCACTCCCTCACCCACTGCCTCAAACTGCCCTACCACTGCCCCCACCCACTCCCCCCCCCCCCCCCCCCCCCCTACCCCCACTCCCTCTACCACTGCCTCACCCCCTGCCTCTATAACTGCCCTACCACTGCCTCACCCACTGCCTCTACCCTCCCCTTTACCACTGCCTCACCCCTGCCTCCCACGCCTCAAACCACTGCCTTTACACTCCCTCTCCCACTGCCTCCCCCACTGCCTCTATAATGCCTCCCCCCACTGCTTACCACTCCCTTTACCATGCCTCCCCCAGCCTTATAACTGCCTCTCCATCCCTTTACCACTCCCTTTACCACAGCCTCAACCCACTGCCTTTACCACGCCTCTAACGCCTCCCCCACTGCCTTTACCTGCCTCCCCACTCCCTACCCAAGCCCTACCACTGCTCAACCATTCAGCACATCAATCTACAAGCACCAAATACAAGAATTTTTTGTGAAATGTTTGGAAGAGTACAAATAATACTCACCCCCGCATAAAAAAAGCCACACTGCGATGTGCAACCATTCCTCCACCACTCTTCAGCCCTCGTATTTTTTTACAATTTCCTTCTTCAATTTTATCGTATTTATTATTTTTTTTATTATTATTATTATTTTTATTATTATTTTTATTATATTATTATTTTAAAATTTTATTTTTAGCAGTAGCCAAATTTTGTTCTTTGGTGTTCAAAAGTAAAAACATGAGCACCTTCCAATACCGTCCGAATAGCCCTTCTAATAGGCAGTCATAAATGGGTGACATTATTTATACTGTAGTTTAATAAAAAAAGAAAAAAAAAAAACATACCACACGTGGTGGGGGGGGCTGGTGCCAGTTGGGGGGGTCGGAGGGAGGGGATAGGGACTTTCAGTGGGGGAGGGAGGGTATTTAATAACATACAATTGTTAAGGGATAAATATGTATTTAGTACATTTACGAAGTTTTCATGCATTTTATGATTGTTATGGTCAAAAAGTTAAAGGGAAAAAGTATTGCTTATATTTCCCACAATATATTGGGGCACCAAACATTCACGGTTTTTCAACATTCCGAGGCTCTTGACCCCTAACCCCCGTGAATGTTGAGGGAGACCTGTATTCCAATTACAGTGGGCCCCCGCAAACCATCACCTCCGAATGCGACCAATTTGTAAGTGTTTTATTAAATGCGTTTGTACGGTATGTTTGGGGGGCTGAAATGGACTAAATTTTTCACAAAATTTTCCTTTTGGAACAAATTTTTGGTCGTATGGCCCCTGAACTATTCTGAAGGAAAAAAAACGTTAAACAGGGTCCACTGTACATTATTGTGTGGCCCCAAAACTATCTTTTTTAGCTAGTACCTAAAACCCTTTTATTTTTTTTCTTTTTATTGTGCAAAATTTTTGCCAATTTTTATTATTAAAAATCAAAATTTTCTCCCAAATCAATATTATATAAGTGATTCTCTTCCCTTTAACTTTGTTTTCCATTACTTAATTTATCCCTTATATATTTCTCCTTTTTTTAGTTTACAAACTACCTCAGTTCTATATTCCCAAATTTTTAAAATAATCAAAGGCTATTTCAGGGGCTAAAGTGAATAATTCACTTTTTTCATTAATTCCCCAACTCATTTATTTGATTTTCCCCTTTTTTTGTTCACCAAACTTAATTAGTCCCTTTTTTATTGTCTCCTTTTTTTTAACTTTAAAGAACTACCTAAATTTTATTCCAAGCTCCTTTATTTGTCATCACTTTATTTGTTCACCCAAAATTTTTTTAGTCCCTTTTATATTTTTCCCTTTTTTTTGCTTTAAAAACTACCTTAGTTCATATTTTTAATTTTTTAAAATAATTCGGGGGTTTTTTTTAGCTTTAGAATATTTTCGTTGTCTTTCTTAACTCTAACTACAGATTCGCTAAAATCTTATGATTCAAGCATTGATCCTGATACCCAACCCCTTTATTGAATGACTTAAATGAATC